GAATTCAAGTTCAACTAAGTGATAAATAGCTTTGCCAGAATTATGATTAAATATAATCTTTGAAGAATTTTTTATTAAAAAAAAAGAACAAAATTTGTATAAATTACAGTTTATAGGTATAGTAACTTAGTAAAGTAGTTAAGTTGTTGTACTCCCAAGTGATATGTTGGCAAGATAAGGAGTTCAAAACTCACTGGCAACAAATTTTGAATATTCTACTTGTACAATAGTTACTGTTTTTCATTGATTAGTTGAAATTAAATCTCTGTAATTTTGGTGATATCAACAAGATTAAGAGATCATGGAGCATTCATACAATATATAAGTTATACAAAAATATGCAAGCCAGCTCTGGATGGTGCAAACCCAAGAAAAGTTCTTATAATCATATAAATCTAAGAAACCAGAAAAACAGATACTCTTTTAGCAAGATCTGAGTAGAGAGATAGTACAAATTTTTAATAGTAACTATTAGAGTAGTTTTATCTAAAGCCAGTTAACTAGACAAAACAAGAGTATTGGCAAGTTACTTCACCAACCAAGCTGCTAAAGCAAAAAAACTGACTTTAGAAAAAAAAGTTTGATTTGTTAGATAATCGAAACCATAAGACTGGGGTGTTTCCTTTGGGCTATTTAGATTAGAAGTCTGAGGAAGACAGGCTAGAAGATATAGATAAGTAAGGTTCTGAATATTAGGAAGTCTTGATGGGAAGGTACTGGGATTTGGATAAACTCTACAAAAGCAAAGAATTAAAAACTAGATTAGCCAAATTGTAGATATAAAAAACTTTAGCAGGTTTACCCTGAGAATAAAATTGTTCTAAAGTTATAATGAATATTAATTTGAGGTTATGTATATAGAAATATATATATTTTTAATATGAAACTGATACTGTAAAAGTAATCTGTTAAACATAAATAAAAGTACTGACCAAAAAGATTATCTTAATACTGAAAAAAAATAAAATAAAATATAGTTTGCTAGTATAGCCATGGGCTAAGAATAATCAAATAAGGTGTAATCTGTCAACAAATAATACTAATATTGAAAAATCTAGTTTAAGAATTATTAGAATTAAGGATATTAGATATAAAGAATGATCTAGCTTGTAAATCATGTAAAGTTAAAGAATTGCAGATCTAGAGAATATAGATTTTATACTGTAGTACCAGAGACCCAGGATGTTATATGATGTATTTAACAGAATATGAGTTATTTTACCAGTATAGTAATATATAAAAACCAAATTGTCAATATCAGTAATCTCTGCAGAAATGAAAACTCTGGTTTTTAAAAGATATGAGAGATTTGAAGATATCTAAAAACCTTCAAGATATAGAGGAAGCTAAAATAAAAAAACTTTCTTACTCTTGCTATTTCTTTTTTAGTATATATTTTTACTCTTGTTATTTCTTAATTTCAAATCTACTAAAGTATAATATACAGGTTCTTTAAGCATTTACCTCTTTATTTTATTCTTAGATATATTTTTAATAATATATACAATTTGTTATATTCAATTTATCAATAAATATATAAATTTTTATAATGTATTTTTTTATATTTTATTTGTATTTTTTTTTTTATTTTAAATATTAATAAAGCTGTTTTTAATAAATGATTTCACATACAAAATTATGTTTAATCATGTTTATTTTTGTATATATACTTGATATTTATGTATAATTAATCTAAAAATTTTTATAAAAAAGTCTATATCTAATTTAAATCAATTTGCAATTATATAAAACAGTAGTACAGTCGTCCCTCATTAATATCAACCTATTTGAATCACTTTTATATTCATGTTGATAGTGATATTAATGAGGGAACATATTAAAGTTGATATATAGGAGGAAATTTTAATATCATTTAACATATAGAAATTCATTTTATATCCTAGGTTGATATTAACGGAAGTTGATATTAATAAGGGACGACTGTATAAATAAGCAAAACACAAAATCAAAAATTTATAGAGACTTAATCTCTAAATATTTGGCTAAAATTACTAATAATTCTAAGTATTTCAATAAATAAGATTCATTTCGAATTATACAATAAATATAAAAAAAAACTACCTTTATTCTTAGATAAACTCTAAATCTTTTACAAATATTAACAAACACAATACAAAATTAATATACCAAAATTAGTATGATATTAATTTGAAGATCTTTGAAATAAAGTAAAAATATTTTATGAAAAAATGCTTTTTGAATAAAAATTTAAATCTAGATCATTTAAAAATAAAAAAACTAATAAATTAGTAAATAAATTGCAATTAGAGTTTAATTTTCTGATTATTCATAGGTTAAAGCTTTATGATAAATTTATCTATTTAGTATTTAAACTTAAAAATGAGAATATTAAAGAATGCAAAGTTATAACAGAATATAGATGAACTAAAAAAGAGCTAGAGTTTAAGAAAAATTATAAATTTTAGAAAAATATGTTCTAATAGCTTATGTATTACTTGAAAAAGCATTTATGTTAAATATCAATCATCTTTTATAGAGAATTAGAACTTGATGCTTTCTTTCCATATTATCGAATTGCATTAGAAATGCAGGATGCACAATATTAACTTCATAATACTAGCAGATATAAAGATATCAAAAAACTCAAAAATATTGTTGACTGTGATTGGAAGAAAAAATGCTTTGGTCAGCTTAATAGAATGTATCTTATCAAAGTATAGTATAATAAGAATCCAGAAGTTACTATCTCTAAAAAGATATATAAATATAGAGTATGTATTAATTAAAAAATCTTCAAACTTTTGTAATCAATAACTTAATAAAATCTATAATTAGTGTCTGAAATTGGGTTGTAGAACTTGCAGACCACAAATAATTTATAAGTTTCTGCAACTAAAATCTGAAATGTATATGTAGTTCTGCGAATGAATTTTGTAAATTTGCATATAGATATGTTTATATGCGCAACTAAATTCATATAATTTACAAGTGATTTTTTATTTAGTTGCAGGCCCATAACTAAATTAAAAATTGAATTTTAGACATTGTCTATAATGCTACATTAGAGATGGGCAAAAATTTTATATATTCTTATATATTTTAATATATTCTTACAAATTATGATAAAATCAATATGCCAAGATAAGAAAAAAAAGACTATGAGTTTTTTTATTTTTTTTTAAATAAATTTAAATTTTTAGCAGCAAATTTCAATTTATCACATACAAATCATAATTAATTTAACAATTAAGCATTATCAAGATTTCTAAAACTAACCAGTTCTCTAAAGTTTTTTCTTAAATACTATGCATAGCTTGAATAGAAGATTTAATTATAGCTTCATTATATATAATTTGATCATTAATTTAAAATTATCAATGTTTTTAATTATTTGCATTACATTTTCTTCAAATTTTTTTTCAAATTATCATCATTATTTTCTATATCATCAAATTCAATATTCGATACAATATTTTCAAGACTTGCTTCATTAGAATTAGTTGTACTAGTTTAAACAATTTGATCAAACTTATTTTCTTTATTTGGAACAATATGATGTGGATTATTTCTTGTATAATATGCTATCAAATACATGTTATTTTTTGTTACGCTGTGATGAATAGATATTTGCAATAAATAACCAAAATCTTTCGCTTTCAGCAGAAGTAGGTGGTATCAATATAACTTGTGTTGCAAAAATAGCTAATTCTGGTATGATTGATCTTTTTATTTAACTTAAACAATTTTGTATATATCAATATGTAGTTTATAGTTTATTTGTAATCGATAACTCTTAAATTACTTAATAATATATGCCAGGATGATGCTGAAATTGGATGATGCTAAAATTTGGTGTCTTTAATTTGAAAATATAAACCCTACTAAAATCTATCTATACTCTTTTATTACAAACCCAACCCTAAATTCTAATCGAACTATAAAAAAAAGTTGAACAAAACACCCCAAAAAAATTTCAAATTTTCATAATAAATTAAGTCAAAATTTCAACATTATCCAGAAAATATATAATAATTTATAAATTTTAGCTATCGCTTACATAATTATTACATTGCCCATCCCTATTTTTAAAAGTTTCAGATTATAATTTCGGAGGTACAGGTTTGTTTTTTTAAAAAAATTTAAACTAATTCTGGATTAAAGTACCAGGGCATAAACTCATACAAGAGGACCAAAATTCTGGATCAGAATGCATCAGAATTCTGGTCAGATGTACTAGAATTAATTAATTTTGCCTAAGATCACTAAAAATTTTACTAATAAAATCATATCCCATTTATTAAGTAAAAATACCCAACTGATGATTTTGCTATAGACTACGTTGGCTAACATTGCTTAATGCCGATGCATTCTGACCCGGAACTTTGGTAATCTCTCTGTAAAAAATCTGGAGCATTTCTGTGCATGTGATTTTTGAGATAAATTAGCTGATTAAAAATCAAGATCTGGTATAACGTAAAAAATTTTCAAACCAAACGTTCGCTTTGCAAAAATTGCGGTTATCTCAAAACTTATACTAGTAAATTACCTTTGTGGTTCTAATAAAAACAAATTCCTTGTCGCAATTTTACTACAGACTACCCTTTTCTAGCTTTTATATATGCGTGAACTCTAACATAAATGAGCTTTTTTGTTCAAAGATAATAGACTCAGAATCTTATGCCCATCAATTTTGAGCATTCTAAAACTAGTTTTGTATAGGCTTCGCTTCGAGTACAATTCTAGATAAGGCTATATTATATTATGCGTGATTGCAAATTGAAAAAGCTGAAATATCGTTAGATAAAGTCGGTCAAAATCTACTTTTGAATATTAATAAAGTTTCAAGGAAAAATTTCAAGCTGGACTACAATGATTAATTGTATACCACTCATTGGTTCTCTCAAATTTCTTTGCAGTTTCTTTTTTATTTTTTGATGAGGTTTGGTTGTTTAGAAATATTTTATTTTGAAAGGCATTAATATTCGAAATCTGCTTGTTCGTTACTTGTTGTATTATGCCTAATGTTGCGATTTGATTCCGCATTTATCAGAAACTTTGGCATGCAACAAGTTGGATTGACAGTCTTGACTATTTTTATTATGAAATTTTGACAGCACAACTCCATCATGTGAACGATTAGCGTCGATTATTGGAATTTCTATCTAAATTTTGGCATAATTTGTGTCACAATTAATAGTCAATACCTAAAGCTAAAATTTGTACTACAATTAATAATATAGTGATGTTAAATAATGTATGTAATAAATTAACGATTAAAAAAGTATACTTTATTAATGTTAAAGTAAATCAATTCAATTTATAAAATTTTTTACTATTTTTCGTTTACCGTTACAAATTTGCAAGTAATATCATCTAAAAATAATACAACTAGACGAATTAGATAAATTGCGACAACAATTTTAGATCAATGTTTATAAAATTAAAAAAAAATAAGGCTAAAAACTTTTTATATTAGAAAAACCGAAACTAATAACATTTATTAAGAGAAATTCGTAAATACAATCTTTGATAGTGATAACATTGATTTTAAATTTGTTAAAAACAATTTTAAATTTAACATTAACGCTTTAATAAAAAACTTCGATATTTAAAATTTGTTAAATAAATTCTCACTAAAAACTTATATAATTATCGCTATTAAATTTTACAATACAAATTTGTGACAGTTAATTTAGGTTATAACACGCATTTTAAATTTCAGTTTTTGCTTCAGATTGATTTAAACAATATATATTGGTATCCGTTAGCTATTATCTAGAATTAACTAGATAATACCCAGACCACACGACAAGGACATCGATACCAAGAGTGACCCAAAAAAAAGCTTTTACAACCTGGGTTTGTAAAAGTAAAAAAAAAAAATACCTGCCAGAGAGATTTAATGTTCACTATAAAAGTTAGTATAACAAAAACTTATACTTACCACTCTCTGGAAATAAAGGGCCTTCCCAGGTAAAAAGGAAGACATCTTTTCCAACCCATTCTTGACACTCTTCTTGCGCAGGTCAGTCAACACACTAAAAAAAACTACTTACCTTTGAAAGAAACCCATATTCAGAAATCTTTCAAAACGAAAAAGTTAAACCAAGCATAGCAACTAAACACAAGTATGTACAGAATGAAATACTTATCTTGATAACTTCACTAGTGTAGTTTAGATAACAATGAAGATAATTTAATCTTATCCAAATCTTACAAATTATTAATAAACAACTATATGCATTTAATGCTTACGAAGCTGTAAACCCGTCTAATATTGAAACAACGTTCATTATAGTTGGCATTTATAAATTATTGTCGCGGATAAATTAGTCCCATATAATTGTCCCTTTTGAGCAAAATGAATGTGGGCAATATAGTGGAATCTTTCCAAGTTCATATACAATAATATATAGTTATTGGA